GTTGTTTTGGTCGCTCACAATTAAGAAGATGAAAAATAATAAGTCGAATATTGAGTCATCAGTTAAATTTGTATGTTGTTGAGAGTCCCACACTTTATCCCATTTGATCAATCCAGAAATTTGTTGTTCCTTTTGACATTTTAATTTCAAAATATGGCTCTTTTAATTTCATACTCGAATATTAAATACAAATGATCAAAGGTGAACTAAAAATTTAAAATTTATAAATCATCAATAATCACAATTACTTTTTTTAAATCATAAGTTCTAAAGAAAAATCAAAAACCTCACTGGAAAGAGGACGACAAAGCTCAAGTAAATTCCATTTATATTATTAAATCGTAAGCCTATTTTACTTTGTTACTTTTTCTGTCCACAATTATTTATCATGGTAAGATCATGCACGCCCCTTAACTATGACCAGAGAGTATAAAATTTCAAATAAATGACACAATCTTTTGAGTTACTGAAAATTTACACCCAGTTTCCTAGAACCATCCTTACAAAATAACCATCCATTAAATGCGGATTTCAACGGTATTAGAAAGTGAAATAGTATAATTTCTTCTATCATGGTTGGCTAACAATTAATGCATTTTCTTGATATAATATATGGTTCTATACTTGTATTAATTTTATAATAAAACCTGAATCAGATTCTTTCTAAGAGCCATATGTCTCAACAATAAAAGAAATGAAAAATCCAGATGTCATTGTTCTGCTTGAAGTCATCGTGTGATTTATTAGTTAATCAAAATTTTCTATTCAAAGTCTAACTATTTAAGTAATTCATTATTCACAGATTCACACATCCAGACACGGATTCTTCTTTGATGTAGTTTCCTTTCTTAATTGAAAAAAAATAAGGAAACTTTATGGAACTTTCATTATGAGTAAAATAAATAAACAAGACATATTTGCTTGTTATTTGGCATAATTAATATTCTCCTGTGTTACTTTTATTTGTTTAATATTTTAAAAAAATAACTTTTTACTTTTATTTATCACTTTTAAATTTTAATATATTAAAAAAAAATATTATTTTTATGATAAATTATGACCGATAAAAATAAATCGAGATTACTTCTTCGAATTAAGAAGGGATTAACTTCATACGTGGGATAAAATAGAATTCATACTTTAATTATGTGTGTAGGATAAGTAAAGCCATTAACTATTGCTATGTGTAATGATAGCACTCTTTAATTTGTTACATTTATTTAGTTCTAATTCTAATTTATGTTTATGTTACATGTCTTAATGTCTCCTATATACACTTTTTAGACAAATTTCTTACACATCAACGTGCAAATACCTAACAAAAATGAAAATCTTCCAAATAAAACCATATATATATATATATATATATATATTAGTAAAAAGAGAAGTGAGAGACATGTTGTTTTTTCTCATTATTTCTTGTTTAATTAATTAATTTATATGAACTTAGGTGTAATATCATTTTTTTATAATTTTCGATGCTGTTTCATTATATTCCTAACAAGGAAACAATTCTTTTAGTTCATGTGTTATTGGTTTATTACTATATGATATTTTTAGAATCTACGAAATTATTTGAAGTAGAAAAATATTCAAATATTAGTGGATGGAAATAATATAAAATTTGAATCATAAGATGTTTACAATTAGCAGATTCAATCTTCTCAAAAACGTAATGTAATAAATAGGACAACGCATAACACCATGAATATTGATTAAGTGTAATATTAATCACCATAATTTTGTAATTTAATCACAACTTTGACATTTGTTCTTGTTTTAAAACTTTCACGAAAAAGAAAATTTATAAACTTTGATCACTTAAAAGAATATACTGTATATATTAATAATTTTAAAAGATTAAGTCATGGCATGAGAAACTTATCAAAGTCTAATCTCACAATCGACCTCTATTAATATATATTTATATTGTCTAATAATGATATTAAACTTTTTTATGTAAATTCTTGTTGTTGTATATTAGATTGTACCTCGACATTTCCCAAAATTAAATATGCTCTGTCTAATAATATAAGGATCATAATCATAATTACAAGCTAATAATCATGCACTAAAACCTTTCTTAAATAAGAAAGAAAATATTTTATTCATTCTAATTTATTTATCAAATATTTTTTCATATGATTTTTTTTATTTGTCATTTTTGAAAAAAATAGGAAAACAAAAAAAAATCATATTATATCTTTAATTTATTTAACATTGAATTAATGTCTTTAAAAAATATTATACACAAATATATTTGAAATTCTATCAAAATTAATAGGAATAATATAGTAAACTTACTATACTAATCAAGGTTTTCTTAATACTAAATAGGTATATCAAGTTAAAATTTGATAAGTAACACCTTAATGTATTTATGTGTAATAAATAAAACTGCTTAGGAAAAAATCTGTCTCATTTTATGTGAAACTTTTAGCATTTCGAGATTCAAATAAGTCTATTTTTGATTGAAAGTTTTCATAGATTATTTTAACGTTTTGAATTATAAATTATTGTGACTTATAATACTCTTTATGTAATTTATAAATATATAAATTTTATTTTAAAAAATTAAAAATTTCATACATAAATATCCGATTAAAATTAAATTATTTGACTCTCGAAAATGAAAAGCGTCACATAAGGATAGAGGAGTTAATATATTTCTCATGTTCTACATTAGACTTTGACCGGCACATGCTAGCATTGTGATGTATTAGGAGCAAAGATAGTATGACTTTAATATATTTGTTTTTAATTTGACTAATTTTTAAAGTTAAATTAAATTATATTAATTTGATATTTTAAATAATATAATTAGATATCTAAAAATATATGAATGTACTATAAATTGCAATTTTTTATATATCAATATAATGAAAAAATACATCTTATAATATTAGTCAAAATTCTTATAATTTAACTTTAAACATAGAAATTATGACAATCAATAATGGACGGAGGTCATAGTTATTTCTATTTCAAATGTTTTATTGCCCTTAAATTCTAAGATAAAAGGAGGATTTCTTTTAAACTTTTTTTTAAAAAATTTTTTCTATCTCAAGCTATAGTCGAAACGTGAAGCCAAGTTCAAGAAGTCATAGGCTGGCAAAAGATTGTGTAATCCCATTGAGATCGCCATCGATATCATAAGTTTTATAAAATAAATTGCATAAAACATGAGCTATATTTAATAAATAAATTAACATTTTAATCATTTCGATCCAATTCAAAAGGAAGGCAACTACGAGAACATGTTTGTATATACATAGAATCGGTATTATATATTTATATGTAGATACGCTTTTCAATATCTTCATTTTTTTTAGCTTAAAATATACAGCAAGGTACAGGGAGTCTTGCAATTGAAAAAATAATAGTAATTAAATTATATTAAATTTTGAGAGTAGAGAAGAGTGATATTTTTATAAATAAAAAAATTGATAAACACGTTTCTTTGTTGTGTTTTGAGGTAATATGTTTAAAGAAAAATGGTATATGCTACTCAGATCCTTAATTATCATAATTAATCCCTAATATTACGGGGATGGGACATTAAGGGACGTGTGGAAGTGGTATAACGGGGATTACATTTAATTAAACAAGCCTTTATAATCATAGTTAAAAATAAATTAAGAAAAAACTCACTAATTTTGGTAAGAAAATTCTCATCTTTCATTAATTTTAGCTCCTCGTTAATATAATTATTTTCATGATATATACTTTATATATCCAATATTAATAGCATTTCCCTAATCTAAAGTTAAGAATACTCCCCCTTTTTTTAAAAAAAAAAAATCAATATTTGACAAAATAAAATTATAGATTAAAGTGTAATGAGATCAATAAAAAAAAGCAAAAAAAAAAAGATTTAGAAAAAGAAAGACCCACTTTTATTTTAAACGCAAAATATTCTAAAACGTTAAACAAATATAATTATACAATATATTTTTTCCTCTCCAATTTTTTTCATCTTCGACATAAACTCATTCGACAAATACTTAAGTATCTTTTTACTAAACAAAAAAATAGATTTTTAAATTTTTTTTTCGTGTCAAGGAGGTTTACAAGATTTTCACAAAAAATAAATAAAAAATATAATGTTATATTTTAAAGTAATTTAGAAAGTATGATCTGAAATTTATCTTTTTTTTAATACAATATTGTAGAGAATTATCTCGAGAGAATATTAATGTGTATTTTGTAGTTTTTATTTAATATTAAGAATATTTATGATTTTATTTATGAATAAAATTAAAATCAAATCAATTATATTAAAAAGAAATATAAAAGTATAACTAAAGTATTGATATTAGTGAGGAGCCCAAATTAGCCAAAGATGATTTTTCTTACCAAAGTCAGTGCATTTGTTTCTAACTTGTCTTCAATATATGACTAAGAGTATGTTATTAAAATTTAACCTAGACCACTAAATTTTAAATATAATAAGTGTCATTCATCTAAATATACAATCAGAGTAAATAAAAAAATACATATATATAATGAGAATGAGTCAAATCATATTATAACATACTACTTGCAATTATAAATTTGAAAATTGGCTTGAAATTTAACGTTAGAAGGAAATATAAATAACTTTCTAAATGACAAAAATATCTAATTAAAGATCCTCTAAAACTTTGACATGTTTTCTCCCGATCCTTTAAACTATCAGTAGTCTTAATTATCTATGAACATGACTTTTTCGTTCCTAAAAAAAATGAAGAAAACATATCAAAGTTTAGAATGATATTTAGATATTCTGCCTATTAGACGTTGTGTATTGGATGAGTAACGTTTCACAGTTGACACTTGTTTTGAAAGTCTTAGCCAGTTGTTTTTAATTTCCAAACTCAAATTGCACCAAAAAGTTAGGAGTACTAACATATATATCAATACTAGTATATGATATTATCGAATAGCTAGTGCTAATTAACAAAATTTTAATTGTTAAAAGTTTAATTTGTTTGCAATATGGATTGGGATACAGAATCTTACCGTGAGTACAAAGATTTAATTTTTATTCCCTTCTTTGCTCTCTTCTTCCCCATCCTTCGATTCATACTCGACAGATTGGTTTTCGAGGTAAATATATACTCTACGGAGTTTCATGCAGAACACCTGAACCTGTTCAAAACCTAATATTTTGGACACATTTAATATGATTTTTGCTATTTTAATTTAATTAATTAACCGCGCTCTGATACGCATTGTAAGGCATTGGCTAAGCGCATGATTTGTGGGAAGGACGCAAAGGTGATAAAAAATGGTAGTAGTATTAAGAGGAAGAAGATGAACAAGTTCAAGGAGTCAGCATGGAAATTTATGTATTTTCTATCTGCAGAGATATTTGCACTTTATGTTACTTATAACGAACCTTGGTTCACAAATACTCGATATTATTGGACAGGCCCTGGAGATCAGGTTTGGCCTGATCTTAAAATGAAGTAAGTTTAGGATATTGTGTACATACTTTTCTTTTTTTTTCTTTCGTCGAAGAATCGAGAGTCTATCAAAAACAACTTTCACAGGTTAAAGCTGAAAGGATGGACCATGTATGCTGGAGGATTTTACTTGTACTCCATATTTGCATTGATCTACTGGGAAACAAGACGCTCTGATTTTGCTGCCCATATGATTCATCACATAACATCAGTTTCACTGATTCTCTTGTCTTACATTTTCGGGTACGTAATTTAAACGTGTATAAAGATTTAAAAATTTGAATTTTTATACACATGCACGGTATGCATGATATTTAGGTTCAGACGTTTTAATCATAATAAAAATAAGGTATCCTTCTACTCCAACTACGTCCAAGCTATATAACAGTTGAATACAGTATACATATATTTTTTATTGATCGGAAGAAACTAGAGATTTTATGTGTTTTAATTTTCTTTTTAGTCTTTTTTTTTAAAAAAAAAGAAAAGTGCAGGATGGCACGTGCGGGATCAATGGCTGCATTAATTCATGATGGAAGTGATGTACTGATGGAAATTGCTAAGATGTCACTTTACAGTGGATTTCATAGCGTTGCTGATATTTCCTTCGCTCTTTTTGCATTGTCTTGGCTATTACTTCGTCTAATCTACTTCCCATTTTTCATTATCTATAGCACAAGGTTAGTCTGATTGACCATCGTATTTCGAATTAAGTCACATAAAACAGAAAATAGATATACTATTTATATTATTTAATATTTTGTATACGTGTTTTATAACGTAATTTAATTTATTTTTAAAGATAATTGATTCATTATTGCTTTTGCAGCTACGAAGTTCTTTTCATAGTGGACAAGGAGAAACAACAAAATATAAATGGAATCATACTTTACTTTGTGATAAATTCAATGCTGATATGTTTGCTGCTGCTTCACATATATTGGTGGACACTCATATGCCGCGTGATTATCAATATCCTGAAAAAAGGCCAATTTGATGACGTCCGATCAGGTAATTAAAAATTGTATCTGCTAGTTCAGTTAATTGATTATCAAAATTTTTATCTTGTCATTTTTTTACGTACTCGTTTACTGAAAAAATAACTAAAATAAAAATACTCATCCATATGCAATTTATATGATGCATTTTACGTACGATGCCTTTTATTTCAACAAATTTATTTACTATACGAAATTTTAAAGCAAATTGTTGATATTTATGTATAAATGATCTCATTAGGTTAAATTAGAAGTTTCCAAGTGAAATATAATATATAGTATTTCTTTAGGAACAAATTAAATAGGAAAGTGAGTTACCTAAGTTGGACGGAGAAAAAATATTGTTAATATTATATAATTCCAGCTTGTGATCTTAGACTGCATGTATTTATCTTAATGATTTGCAGATTCAGAATCTGAATCCGATGAGGATGAGCATAAACAGAGTTGATGCGGATCGAAAGCTTAGATTATTAAAACCATTAGCTCTTTGCATTGTATTTCGGATAGTTACTTAATGTATATTTTTTAGTTATTTAAATATTCTGTTGTTGAAATAATGTTTGAATATATATGTTGTTACAACGAATTAATGTTATAACAAGGTTTGACTGTATATCAAGGAGATTTATCCAATATATATAATCAAAATATTTGATTATATATATTTGAAGCCCTTGCCTGAGACAGGGCATTGATGTATAAATAGGACAAGATTTGGTTGCTCAGGTGGTAATCATCCTCCGCCTCCAATGTTAACTGGATTTCTCTGTTAGTTCCTGACCTAGTCTAACAATTATTTGAACTCTATCTTTCAAGAAAATGTGGTATTAGATTAGTTGTGATCATGGATGTCAAGAGAGAACATTGAAAGCTTGAGCAGTGTGAGCAACTTTGATAAACACATCCTCCAAAGTTGTATCAGCCAGACCCCAAGCATAAACTGTGAATCTACTCTTTGCTTTTTCAACAGCTTGAAATACATCTGCAATTCTAACCTCTTGCTTTGGCAACTCAAACTTCTGTGTCCCTGATAGATGATATATCCTGTTGGCATTTGGGGATAGGCGTTGCACCATGTGCTCCACTTCCTCCTCATTATCTGATGATGTCGTCATCGTAAACACATAAGACCCTCCGTATCTTGCCTTCAACTGTTGGATATACATGGTCAGAACAGTTTACACGTAAAAAGAAGCAGATGGAGAGAGGTCAAAAATGACTTAGCCCTGGCTATCAAATCCTTAGTTCAATCAACACTTCCAAGGACCTTCTTGCTTTTATGACTCTAGAACCGCGCCACAAGATCAAAAATAGAAATATGCAGGACTTCTTAAATGCTTGAGATTACCTCTTTGGGATTTCCTATGCACTGCAAGCTGCCATCAACGAATATTCCTAGTCGATCACATAGATGTTCTGCTTCTTCCATTGAATGAGCTGAAATTGTTATCCTTTATGAGTAGTCATATTAATGATCTCATTAACCACTGGTAAGAAATTAGCAAGGGAAGAATTCGGTTGCACAAAGTGCAACATATATATGTTGCGCTTGGGGCAAATATCTCGTTTATCATTTATCAGTACCCTTCATACAATTCGTTAGTACTGTCCTGGGTGCACATAGTTCATTCATGTTAAAGGGTAAATAAAGAAACAAGATAACGAATGTTAAGTTACTAGTTAGAATAATTGCTCTATCTTGCTTTGCACGCTTGACAACATTCCACAAGTTGCTTCGTGAAGATGGATCCAGTCCAGTGCTGGGCTCATCCATGTAGACAACCTAAAGAGTTTCATAAACCACAAGCATATTACCAGTACACATCTCGGAATATCTTCCCACGAGAATGGATGGTAAGGAGTAACATACCTTGGGATCTCCAATCAGTGAAATAGCAACACTTAGCCTCCTCTTCATTCCTCCACTGTATTTACCAGCTTTCTTGTCAGCAACGCCTCCATGAAACAAGTTGACACTCTTAAGAGATTCTTCAACTGCCTGTAGGCAGAAAAGTATAAATAACCAAATATATATATATATATATTTAGATGAGGAGCCAAGTCTATCAAGATTTTAGTCTTTCAAGTTGCCTCGACGATTCATTGCCCGTAAAGAATCAATCAATTGCTTGTGCTATAGAATGAATAGTATCAGTAAAGATATCCTGGACTTGAGGAATACAATCAATTTAATCAGTTGTGTTAATTGGCTGTAACTTAATTCTGCTGTAACAGATTTTGGATTATAAGTTCAATTTTACAAGCACTCATTAGCCATTAACGTACTTGTGTCAAGTCTGCTCCTTCAAGATTTTTAAGCCTTCCATAGAAAAGTAGATGCTCCCTTCCGGTTAATATCTCCCAAAGCAAGCTGAAATGAACTCCCAAATGAAAAAGACAATTAGTATTAGGTCGATATTATTTGCAGGAAGGGGTGATCGAATGTCAACTAAAAGCAATTCTTACTCATGCTGCGGACATACACCCATGTTGGTGTATATCATATCCATGTCTGTTCGTATATCCATACCTTGAGCATATGCAGTACCGGAGCTTGGTTTTATGAGCCCAATCATCTGTTAGTGGAAAATTATCGATCAAGGGTATTGAGTTTCACTTTTAACAATCTAAATACATAAATAAAGAGTCAGTATGCAGCTTAACTGACTACAAAATGTGAGGCAGTCAGAATGTGTATTTAAAGTAGTGACTACTCTAAGATTACATCCTTGAGTGACTAAAACTTAAGATTTACAAAGATATATCTAGCACAGAACAGACAACAGGACTGACCATGTTAATAAAAGTAGTTTTGCCAGCACCATTGGGACCTAGCATACCAAAACATTCCCCTTGAGGCAAAGCAAGTGACAATCCTCTCACTGCAAATTTCTCAGGGTTTCCATCTTTCCCTGGATAAACCTTTTCCAAATTGTCACAAATGACAGCATGACCTGTACTTGATTCGAGCAACTGTTCAACTCTCTCCCTCTGTTGAAAGGAAGTTCCGTATGGTTAGTATTATAGACAGTGACAAACATACCCTGCAAAAAGGTTTTTCATGAGAAATGTTAAACATTTACCTCCTGAGCAACATCAGGCTTCTCCATTTGTACGAAAACTTTAGACCCCTGCCTTCTAAAACTATGTTTCCTAGAGGAAGGCGAAGGCCTCTTTCTAGAGTGCCACATGAAACATAGGGAATATTTCCCTGATGAAGCAATCTGATCAATGTAATAACCAAGAAAGAGAAACACCAACCACTGCACCAACATAATAATTAGGACCTCCTTCATTCCATTTTTTCGGTCACTCAAGTCTTTCCATCTCATACCATCCGTTCCTAAATAATTACCCTTGAAAGCATAATGGGAAAACTCATAAAGTCCACGAAAAAGAGAAAAGCCAGGATATAGCTCCATAACTATAATCCAGCCTCCTACAATGTCATGACAGTGTTCACCGGAAGATTAGTACAAAACTGAAGCAATATCCAATTAAAATATTTTCAACAACTAAAACAAAATATCAGGAGAAACAAAGCCAAACAAAACACACCAGTATCTCAATTCTAACATGATTTTTTTGCACAGAAGGTAAGGAAAGGACATGTTGATCCTCTTCACCTAATGAATAATATAACGTCCATGCTCCTTGGTAAAGAAAGGGGAAGTTAGAAGGTTAACAGTAATTGTTTCCAATTTTCGTTCAAAGCCTGAAAATATTAAAAATAACAACGTGGAAATAGTAGGTTTGACAGTAGCAATAGGACGAGTGGTTCTCGTAGTTGTATTGCCCTAAAGCAACACAACTGAACCCCTCTTCTCGGGAAATTTAATGGTTTGGGATACGTCAATTCCCTGGATTTTCTGCCTTCCCTTTCCCTTCATCCAGCCACTCTTTTAGTTCCCAAAATTTATATAATCCAGAATCAGTTCAATCTCTAAGGCAGATTTCCGCTGAGAAGGGAATAGTGTGTGTCCAAAAGTGAACAAAGCCCTATAACTTCCCTTAAAACAAAATTTCATATTTTCTGATAGCTCTAGAAAGCAGATAAAAGAGACAACCATGCCTTTAATTTCCACTTTAGAAATTGAATGATGCAATCCCCTCAAAAGGCCCAAATGAACTGCAGGTCAGTACCAATGTACTGCTTCAATAAAACAGGACTGTCGCCATTTTGGAGGGTGACTAGGTGGTCCAACAATGAAAATTATGAGTTTGCAAGACAACCTTAATATTACGGAACTTACTGGAAAATGTTTCATCCTGGAGAAAGAACTGGAAAAGGAATGATGACAAGAGTCCATTTGCAAACACCATTATATAGCCAATGACTGTTACAATGTCAAGTAAGTAGAATCTGTCATATAATATTAGTTGCTGAAAGTTAATAAGAAAAATTGGTTCATCATCATTCTCATAAACATTCTTTTTCATATGTGCAATCGTTGCAATATTAACAACAACTTCTATTAGAGATAGTAAACCTGTGGCTGCCTGGACATTAGAGAAAAATGCAGCAACTAAAAAAGCAAGGGACTCTTGCAAGTTTATATAGATGAAGTAAAACACGAACTGGATGGCGTAATCATTAAGCAAAAAGAACTTCAAGCCTGCAAAAGGGAAAAAGGGGAAATGAAGGAAATTTGTACCAGGCAACTCCAGTTAACAGAAAGGGCTCAACTGAGTAGCTGTAGCATTACCTACTAATGAGCCGAAAATCACAAAACATAACATGTATATAGAAGCTACGAATAGAAAATAAGCATAAGAAATCAGCCAATAGGGACCATCCCCAAGTCCATGCATTTTCATCATGATCCTCAGTTTTTGCTGCTTCTCATAAACTAGAGCTATCAAAACAACCTGCACACAATTAATTATGCAATAAGCATGACATAAAATATTAAATAGAATCATATGATGAATAAAAAGAAAACATTTGTATAAAGGTTATTAAGTATATACAATTACTCCGATACAAATTAATAACATAAGCTTAACCAGGCATCATATTGTTTCTAAGGAAAATAACCCGTAAGGAATTCCATAGATACTAAAAGTTGAAAGCTGCTGTACATTCTGTCAAACCTCTTGACTGATAAGGTGCTGAGCTAAAGAAGCCCGAAAGTGTATGATAAATGAACACAAAATTTAAGAATGTAAAGAAGATTATTGGATTTTGTGATCTTAAACTAAATGTGTGAATATCATACCAAAAGTACCCTTTGAATTTTGTGGTCTTAAACATGCCATGTTAATTCTACACAAGAATGTCACAAGGGTGAATTGTGAATGTTGGAGATAAAAACTTACTTAATATATAAAAAGACATTCTTTTGAAAAAAGCTAAAAGTGGAAGTAAGACACATAAGGAAATGGAGGGCGCATAATTTTCTTAGCTCTTCTTTGAATAAATCAGATTTTCATTCTCATACATGAACCAAGAAATAAGCGATTTTCACCCAAAAAGAAGAAGACCCTAAACTCATAGAGTGACTGAATAAGGAAGTAAATTTCACTCCTCATGACTCCAAGGAATAAAAGGAGATAAATACTAAACAATGCAGTTGATGAATGCAAAGAAAGTTGTCTAGGAACTGAATTGCTGACAAGTTGGCATCAGTGGGTAGCATCAACAGAAAACAGATTTGTCTGACATGATTGAGACAGTCAA